CCATGGTGAGCTGTCTGCAGCAGTGGGGTGCAGGGGTTCACTGCCAGGCCTCCGGCAAGGAGAGGAGGAAAAGGGAAGGCCAGAACCCATCCTGCAGGACCTCCAGCCTGGGGGCGCCAGTGTCCCTGGCTCTGGTGAGAAGCTTCCTCTTGAGGCTTCCTGGAGTTGGTAGGAACCAGAGGTTAGTCCCACTTCCTCCGTGCCAGGAAAGAGACCACCCCGGTCTGGCTGTAGATTCCCCTCGGGGGAGCAGAGCACAGGCTTCCTTGTGTGCAGAGGCCCCAGCTCTGTGTCCTGTTCCTCCAGCACAGAATTCTAGAGCAAAGCACGGGTGTGGTCACCTGCTGGGGAAGGAAGGCCCGGGGCTCTCGCCGGGCCCTGAGCACCATGGCTCGCTCACACCTCAAATCAGCTCTCCCGGTGTCTGGTTTGTGGCTCTAGTCCTACTGACCCTCTTGTGATTCTAGCGCTGGGGAACTAGAGCTCCCATATTTTCTTAAAGAAATCCTCTTAGCCGCTGGGTGTGGCTGTGGATGGGGGTCTGTACTACTCAGCCCATGACCACCAGAGCCACGAGTCTCTCGTCAGCATGGATTTGGGGTGGGTGTGAGGCGCGAGGCACTTCAGGCTGACCTTGGTGGCCGGTGGAGGAACACTGTTGAGGCCCACTTGTGTTGTGGGTGGTCCGGAGGTCAAGGTCCTTCCCTCTCAGCCAGTCAGATAAAGTCATCAGCTTCTTCACAAACGAGAACCTCAGCTCCTCAGCCTTAATTAATAACTCGTTAACGTGCATCGAATTACCATTCGAGGAGAAATGCAGCCCTCGAGTCCGTAGAGAGTAAAGTGATTTTAAACATTGCATCTCCTTTTGTGCTCCAGGTATTTTCAGAAGCATTGAGGACTCCCTGCACCAAAACCCAGGGTAGATGCTGGGCACTCACATAGCGAAACGGGACACAGGGACGGTGTGACTTGGCCGAGTGATGCATTTGAGTCACTCAGGCGCAAAAGTGAAACGGCACATTCGACTTTGTTGGTGTGTGTGTTGTGTAAAAAATAAGCATTAGAAAAGATGACCCGTCAGTTAGTCTTGAAATGTATTACCAGAAATACTAAGCATTAGAGGGTTGTTTGGCTCTTTGGCTGATGGTTTCCTCAAAACAGAGAAGTGGTTCAGTATGACCACGGACACGTGGCTGGAGGCATCACCGCCCGCTGAGCCAGGGTGGCTGCTTCCTGCCTCCCTGGTGCTGTGAGTGGGACCTGGGTGCCTCAGAGTTTCACGTCTGTCTGTCTGTATTCGTCTGCACTGCAAGGCAAGTTCTCGGAGGCCCTGGAGCAGAGGTGGGGGCACAGGTGTGGCGAGTGTCAGGACTGTGGATTCTGATCAGATTCAGATGGAGGTGGTCAGCTCATCATTTCCAAGAACAAACGCAGATCTGCCACACAGTCTCATTTTCCAAGGGATGCTAGGAACTATGGATCTTCAGGTGGCATCTCTCAGATCAATTCTCCTTGGTGGGAGGGGGCAAACTGTTACTGAACAAAGACCCATCTGTGAACTCAAGCTAGACTCCAGGCTGCAGATACATGTATCTGGCTTAAAATGTTACTTTAATAATGCTGTTTCCTTATGCAGACATTGATTTGACCGGGGTTTGTCCTTGCTGCTTCTGTGCATTCCCACAGTTGGGATTTGGAGTGGGTGGGTAAGGAGACCTTCACGAGTCTCTGCCCTCCACAGGACCCGACCAGCTGACTTGAATTCTTCCAGCAGGGGGTGAGGAGCCTGGGAGCCTGCCAGGAGCTTCCCTGCCCCGTCAGGAGACAGAAGGCACGCAATGAGCCTCACCCAGAGCTGCATCCCCAGCATCCTAGTGTGTCAGCGTGTGTGCTTCAGCTTCACTTCACAGACAGAAGTGTACAAACCAGTGGGCTTTTGTGTGTGCCCTGTAAGAACCTCACCCTGGCATCTCAGCAGTGTGATGTCTTGTTTCAGACCAAGACCTTGGACACATAAGACCATTTCTGTCCCAGATACCTGCGCATTTTGTGCCCTTCCTGTCTAGAGTTCAGATTGACTTGCTGTCCTTCCATACCTGCTGATCCTTCTTTGTGAGTTTCTTTTCGTAGTTACTGACACACTCAGATCGTTTCTTCTGCCTGTTAAGTAATAGTTTTAGAAGGTCATTGGACTGGGTGTCCTGGGGAACCACTCTCAGGCGGGAATGAGCAAGGGAAGTGGCAGCGGCAGGTATTAAGTGTCATGTTGTCACCAGGGACCAGGAGGTGGCACACAGACAGGCAGTGAATTTATTCTGGCCTTTTTGGGTGTTTGGCTTTTCCATCAACCTAAAGCTGGTGACAAACACCTGTAATTCCAGCTCTTGGGAAGCTAAGGCAGGAGAATCATGAGTTTGAAGCTAGCCTGGGCAACTTTGCAACTTAGAAAGACCCTGTCCCAAAATAAAATATTTTTTAAAGGGCGGGGATGCAGCTCAGTGTGAAGACCCTGGGTTGAAGCCTCAGTGTCGCTAGAGAGAGAGAAAGTGGAGCTATCTGTGGTCAGAGTCCACACTTCTTGTTGGGCTGTCGGGGTCCAGGCGGGTGTTAGAGTTAGGAAGGGATCCTCTCCTTGACATTCTACCCACATGGCAAATGTCCCCGCAGGCAGGGTGGGGCACAGGGGAGGCTAGCACAGCCACTGTAAAGAAAAATCACCTTCCTGCTGGCGTGTAGCTTCTTGCACTCTTTTATTCTTTTTCCATCTTTCCCTTCTCCTTGAACCCATCGTAAAACATCAGCAGTGTCCTGCAGCCTCTGCCTGCTGAGAAGTCATGTAACGGAAGAAGAGCCGGCCCAAGGGAGGCCAGGAGCCACTTTTGGGAACTACCTGGTACCCAGGCGCAGCCCTAATGGGTGGATGTGTGCAGTTGCTGCTGACCCAATAGGAAAGAGAAGCGCAGGGCGAATGCAGCCACTGGGGCTGGCAGGAATGGGCCGGAACGGAAGCGCACAGCCAGCCGAAGGGGACTTCCAGGGAGAGAGGCTGGGCTAGACACCCCGGTCTCATGGTCCCCAGGTGGATACAGCCCATTTGGTGCCCCGGGTGGAGAGTGGGCAGAGGACGCAGCACGACCCCAGCAAGCATAGCACCCCAGTCACGAGCACTGCACCCACTCCCCGGGATGCTGCTGCTGTGGGTGCAGAACACCACAGCCGGAGGGCAGCTCTGTGGTGGCACCAGGGGCACAGGAGCAGCTAGTAGTGCCCCTTCCGGGAACACCCAGGTGCACCCTTGATGGTGGGGCACCAAAGGGGAGGGGCCAGACCGAGGCCTCTGACTGCAGCCCGGGCTCTGCCCTCCTGAGCACCTCTGCAGTGGGGAAGAGTTGCTCTTACAGCTGTTGTTTCCTGTTAGTAACTATTTCCCGAGCTGTGTAGCAGGTCCATGCAAACTGTAGTGTGCACCGGGATCCCCGGGGAGGCTTAGGAAGCAGGTGCCAGGGTACTGAGGTTCTGACAAACTCCCGGGCAGCTTTGCTCCTGTGGGTCCCTGGACCATGCAGTGAGCAGAGGGTCTGTAGCCTTCAATTCAAGTCTTCCCTTCCTTGTGTCACTTGGCGGCTTTTTTTCTGGAATTGGGTAGACCTACCGATGACTGGTTTCCCTGGGACATTCAAAGCATACCTGGTTCCGACAATGGCGTGGAACAGGCATCTCTTTTTTCCAGGGTAGAAATACGTTTTTTGTAGTGAGACCCTTTATGTTAACCACGTGATTGTGCCGTCTATCACCTTGAACCAACTAGCTTTTCACTGAGGGGCTTGTTTGTGGGGGAGCTCTGGTTCCTCCCCCTGGCTGCTCATTTGGACCTCTGGAGTGCTTTTGAAAATGCATATTCTCCCAAGCCCCATCTCCATATCTTCTGAATCAAAATCAGAAGCCTGAGTTTCAAACCTCTATTTTCACAAATCTCCACGGGAAATTCTGGTAATTGGCCAGATTTGGGAACCACTAATGGGCTATGCATTTAAACTTGGTACTCTGAAAACCTTCCATTGGAACAGTTTATAACTTAATTGGTTCTGAACTAAAACAATTGGAGAAAAGTTTTATTAAAAAAAAAACAAACCAGTTCCTCTCAATCCTTGCGTATAGATCCAAGACTGATTCCCAAGCAGCAAGTGTGATTGGCTGAGCATTAGAGGAAAGCTCTTCATTATATTTTGGAGTCTAAAATTAGTGCAACAAGATAATAATTCATGTTGATGTTGAGCAACTGATTCAAATCATTAGGTATACAATGGAATCATTTTTCATCACAGAGCGTGTGCGCTAGAAGTCACTAAGGTGATTTTTCTTCTGCTCAATCTTTGTAAGGTTAAGCATAAAGTCCACTGGCCAGAGTCTGTGCTTCCATATGACCCATCGGGGACTGTGGTGGTTATTGGTCATAAAGCCCAGCTGTAGGGCCGGGAATTTAGCTCAGTGGTTCCGCCACCTGCCCCGCAAGCGCAAGGACCCAAGTTCGATCCCCAGTACCAAAAAAATAAATAAATAAAAGACAAAATAAAGCCTAGCTGTGCCATGAACGTCTGGCACCAGACAGCGGAGTCCCCGTGGGTGAGCCTGTCCCATCCCGTGGACCCGTTGGTGCAGCCAGGCTCCCGTACCCACTCCCGCCCTACGGTGGTGCTCTGCCCAGGGCTGTCTGGGTCTCTCATCTTTAGAGATGGTGATGGGGTCACGCATCTTTGGGATTGCTTTGTTCCTTGACACGACTCAGTCAAGCACCACCATGATTCGCGTCACCGTTTTACTCCTCTGGATCCCGTCCGTGCCATGTGATGATTCTGTTTGTGTGTAGGCAGGACGACAGTGGCTTGCGGTGGCCGGATGCGTCACGTGCCAGCCTGAGGCCCTGTCGACGTACCTCTGTGTGGGGCTTCTGTGCTCTGCAGATCGCCGTGGTGTTCACCCGACTTGTTTATTCCTAGGGAATGTCACTAGTGCGCCGGGGTCTCAGATGGCAAGCGGCATCGGCCTGGTCTCCTTCAGCAGCCGACCGGACGGCATGCACCAGCGCTCCTACTCCGTCTCCAGTGCCGACCAGTGGAGCGAGGCTGCAGTCATTGCAAACTTGGCCATCAGCAGTGGTAAGAGGGGGCGCAGCCCCACAGACCGCGGCCACTTCCAGGTCCTCCGCGCAGCCAGGGGCTGGGCGTGGCGGCCGAGCTGTCCATGTGGAGCATGCTGTGACAGCAGCACACGTCTCGCCTGTCGCCTGTGGAGCATTTTGTCCGTGATGGGCTGTCTCGCCCGCTCCATCTCAGCTGTTCCTGTGTGGCCAGGGAGTAGACGCCGTCCCCAGTGGACGGATCTGGAAACCGAGGCTCACGGCTTACTCGGAGTCACATAACGAGGAGGTGGAGGGGCTGAGGATCGGCGTCAGATACTGTGTCCCCGTCACGCTGCCCTGCACGGTGTGACCCACATGCTACCAGTAGTGCACACCGTATGGTGTGAGGGCTAATTCCTTCCACTTGTCAGGTTCCTGAAGTTCCTAGTGCACCCTCTGAATTCCGGGGACCCCCTCTAACCCCCCACTCGTACACGTCTTCCCACATTCTTGGACAAGTGGGTCCTGTTTCTTGGGGGACAGATGTGCACACTGGAAACCGCCGTGACGCGTGCGTGCGAGCGTGAATTATGAATTATGGAGGCCCCACCGCCTGGCTGCAGCTGGCTTTGCCCGTGGCATTCTGTCTCTGGCCTGTTCGCCGGTATTTAAAGGAATTCCCACTGTTGTATGTAATCTATCAGACAGGGTCTTAGAGCAATTTTAGCATAATTTGTTCTAATTAAAAGATTCGGCATCAGGTCTTCCCTGTAGACCCACCAGCTGCTGCGGCAGGACTTGCGCGTCGGTAAACATCGTCCCCGTTTCTAGTTGCTCCCCGGTGCTCCCCCACGGTGGCCACCGGGGGCCCTAAGGGAAGACAGCTCAAGGCCAGGGAGGAGGCGAGGCCAGTCCGTAACTGCGGCTCCGGAAGACTCTGAACAGTGCAGATCTGAAGAGCCTGCGAATCGAGGTGGAGCATTGCCCGGTGGCCCAGCCCAGCACGCTCCTACTTCCAGCCAGGGCAAGCACCTGCCACCCTTCCCTTCTGGCCTTCCTCCCTTCCCTACGGAATCCAGACACACCTTGGGCGCCTGGTTGAGCAGGTTTAAATCGTTATCAGTTACCCACCTGCAGTGCCTTCCCTCCCCAGCCCGTGGCCCGTGCGTGTCTCTTCGTCCCGAGCCTCGGTGTCCTTGTGTGCTCAGTAGTCATTAGCAGGGGGCCCAGCACGTGGCACCTGGCTTCCCTCGTTGAGCAGTGATTACTTTTTACCACGGTTGCTGTGTTTAGAAGGAGCAGCTCGTTCGCATACCTCATCGTTTCGTTTTCAAGTACTTCCGCTCAATGAGCGTTACTGTTCAGTGAGCTTCTGTTTTGCCACTGCCTTCCTCAGTAGAGCCCCACGTGCTGGTGGGTGACAAGAGCTCGAGCAGGACCCCCAGACCCCAGGACACATGCAGTGTCCTTAAGGCACCAGTCCACTGAGCAGAGCAGTAGCTCCAAGGTTCTTATCCACACAGGAGCCGTCTTGGGGAAGAAGAGTGGCCTCGAAGAGTGAGGTCCTGAAAGAGACCAACGTCCTGAGCCTGTCGCCCCTGCATCCCCAGTCTCTGCTGTACAGCTTTTGAGATAACATGTTGATCTGCCCCAAGTCCCTTCTGTACAGATTTTCCTCTGCACAGTGACCTGGTAGACACTCGCTGGGTGGCTTCCCCTCCTGCTGGAGCTGTTCATAGCTACCCAAGAGTGTGTTGTGTTGCCGTACCCAAGACCCTGCTCTTTCCAGGCCCTTAGCGTGGTTGGAAGTCACCCTCCATGGAAGTTGTTTGCACGGATGTGTGTGCATATGTTCAGAGGGTTCCTCTACAAGACTGGAGTCACCTAAGTGTGAAGGCTGTTTTTAGATTGCAAAGCGGTACACGAACACATGTGGGCATCCTTTAGAGACCTGTGTGCTCCCTGACCTTACAAAACCAGAGCCCCAAACACAGGAAAACCAAAACACGAGCCACTGCCCTGGCACCAGCCCGCCAAGGGATGAGGAGGAAAAGCTAGGCCCCGTCCAAAGGTAGTCTGAGGATTGCTGGTTCACAAAGGAAATCTTTCCAAAGAGGATCTCACTTGAGTGGTGCTTAAAGAACCAGGTGAATTTTCTCCTGTGAGACAGCAGGAGGAAGTTGTTATAAGCATTGGGGCGATTTGGGCAAAGACACAAAAGAATAAAAGGGAAAATGGAACAGCCAAGAAGCTACCATGAGGTGAAAGGCATGAGTCGGGTGTAACCAAAAGGAGACAGAAGAGGAGAGAGGAGAAATAAGAGGCCAGAGCCGCCAGGTCCACTTGCATCTAATTTCAAACACTTTGAAGAGCAAAGATCCAGAAAGACCGTGGACATACTACCCTGGAGTATGTTTCCTGCAACCATTACAGGGATCTTCCTGGTGCCTGGATTTTCTAAAGATTGATAGTGTGTCTGTCGTACGCGATGTATTTTTGAAAAGAGCAATAACAGTGTAATAGTACAAGCTGGTAGTGACGGAGGGCTCACGTGGATTATCTCTTCTTCTCCCAGAGTACTGTTCTTCTCTCCATCTTACCGATGGGAGACTGATACAGAAAGGTAGATATCACTTGTGAGTGTTCAGTAAGAGCCAGGACTCAGACTCAGGCCTCAGATTTCCCTTTTCATCAGCTGCCCCTTGGAAACGCACAGAAATGCACATTCCCGGGCCTGGTTCCAGCCAGACCCACTGAATCGGATGGGCATGAGCCTGTGTATCAATAAGCCCTACATGGGACCATTTGAGAGCCACTGCTTCATAAAGTCTTGCCTCTCAAAGTATGGTCCACAGGCCAAGCGGCATCCAGCATCTACTGACTAGAAATGGAGGTGCCTGGGCTCCACCCACACCCTCTGGCCACCCCGCTGTCTGCCTGTTTCCCAGTGTCCCTGCCTTTAGCCCCTTCATTTGAAGTGGCCAGACCCCAGCCATCTTCAGTGACTGCCGTGTCACAGGATCCCATGGAGAACTTCAATAAAATGTACCTGTGCATGGATTCCAAGACCTCACCTTCGCATACACATATCCTGCCGTGCTTGGAAAATAATCGCCAAGGACACAAATAGGAATAGTACCTTTCTACCAAGCTGCTTTTTACAATCATTTTGCCTCCCCTTCCATCCTCGCCCATCTTTGGATTTCACAGACAGAAGGAGCTCACTCTGCTGGCAGGTGGAGGGGGAAGCTACGCAGCTTGGGAACGTACTCATCCGTCCCTACCTTGGTGACTATGCCTGCCATTGTCACCCAGTTTTATTATGAAGCGTAATACTAACAGCAGCATTGTGATTCCATTTCTCTCTGCCCCCACATCCACCCTAAATTAAGACTAGAGAACTTTGCTGTCCCCCCTCCCCCTGTGACACACAGGTGCCCCCCAGCCAGCGGCCTTCAGCAGCTGTGGGCGACTCCTAATTAGAGAGATGGCTTTGTAGTGGGTGTTTGCCCAGGAAATGGGTGGTGCTGGCTAAATTAAGAGGAGAGGGAAATAGGAATCCATTCTGTGAAATGGAATGCCCCACTGCTTTATGACTATTACTGCTGTAAGGTTTTACATTTAACTACCTGAGGTTTAAAATTAAACGTCTAATATAATTTGGCATTGCTAACATGAGCCCCGCATCTGCCCTTAGAGAAAATCCGACAGCTCCGTTCAGGGTTTCAAATTGCTGTCTGCTGGCTTTCGAGCAACACGGAGGATTGGATCCCACTTGCACTAAGTGCCACATGCTGCTCGGCGTAATTTTTTAAATGCAGAACATATTCATCTTGCGCTTCTGCATTGAAAAGGGCTGCTCCCATAGTACATGAAAAATTAATTTTTTTACATTTTTCCTCACTCTCCTAAGTGTTTGACAGAAGTAATTTTTGCAGCAAGAGAGAATAAAAACTGGTGGCTGTAAATTCCTGTCCTAGAACCTCTTGTGTAGATTCTTTATGGACCCAGAATTGATCTACATGTCAAATCCTGTTGTGGTTTAAACTGTTTATCACCGTAATGGCAGCAGTGAGCCCAGGAACACCAACTTATAATCCTGGGTGAAAGGAATTGGTGTTTGCGGTCAATGGAGGAGCAGCTTAGCTTTATTGATAGATTCAGAACAATTATCTCTGCAACAGCTATTGGCTGAGGGTTTTCTTGAATCTTATTGGAGGCCTGTAATTTTTTTCCTGGTTAATCTTTTTCTGTACAGGTAATTCTCTCCAGAAGTGGTAGCCAAGAGTTAACGATCCTGGGGGTCGCAGGGGGCCCTGGGGGGTCATTTGTAGCACACTAGGTTGTCATAGTGCACTTTGAGGCAAGATGTGTTTTAGATGCATCACACCCGTGCGGAGGGCCATAGCCGATGCTGGGACCACAGCATTTGTCTGCCGGCCTTCCTGAGTGTCTGGGTGAAGCAGGCCACTGCCCCCACCCTCCCCAGCCCTCCGCAAATGCCAGCCTTGGCTGATGGCCTCAGCCGTTGTTGTTGCCATGGCAGCCACACTTCCCCGCCTCTTGACTGTCAGGTTGCTCTGATAGCTCCACCCCATCTCCGATTGCTTCAGTCCAACAGTTTATCTTCTGCCTCGCTTAATACTGCATTTCTTCACATGATTCTTCAGCATTGCCTCTCAGCCTTGCTCCCTGCTGCCCCCACCAGGCCACCTGCCACCTCGTCAGCATCGAGCCAGACGCCTTGCCGCTTCCCCCCACGGAAGCAGTGCTGCCCGCCTGCACATGTGTGTACCCATGTAGGTGCGCTTGTTTCCTTCTGAATCATGTATGTTCCTGCTACAGTCTAATTAGTAGACAGCAGATCCTGAATGGAAAGCATTTGAGTTCCTGATAACTTTCAAACATTTTTTTTCCCCGTGATGGAAATGATTTGCGTGGCTGTTTTAACGATGGGAATTGGAAACATGAGTCTCAGCTTTGGGAGCATTCTCTCCTGTGCTTCTTTTTGCTTCTCCCTTCCCATAGAGCCAACCC